ATTCTGCTCTTGGAAACTCTAGGGACCACGAGTAAGCCTGCAATCTGAGAGCAAAGTGCTCTGTTAGGAAAATGTGGAACAATAAGATCTCGTATATAAGATGGAGCTAAGTTGTTGAGAGCTTTGTATGCATTGAATTCTGGACTTGACAGGGAGCCAGTGGAGAGAAGCTAAAACTGGAGAGATATGATCTCTCCCAGTAACTCCAGTTAAGACTCTGGCAGCAACATTTTGGATCAACTGAAGATGTTTTCAAGAAGTATTTGGACACCCAGATAATAAACCATTGCAATAGTCCAGTCTAGACGTGACAAATGCACGAACCAGTTTTTCTACGTCACATTTAGAACAGATGTTTCTAATTTTAGCGATATTACACAGTTGGAAGACATTTATTGCATAAAAGTATATTTAGCCATAATTGCTGAAAGAACAAAAGAAGAAAGACTTCTCGATCTCGAACTGGTCTTTCAAGGACTACTTTTAGTCACTTTGGTCATTTTTTATAGGTAAACGAAGAGCTATTTTTGCTCATAAATTTAGAGTTTAATGACTCATTATGTTAAAAGCATTGAGTGACCTTTCCTACTTTATGAATCGGAGCAGTTGTACCTGCTGCCGCTGGAGCGGGACGGAGTTCAGGGAGTCCTTCAGGAGACCGTCTCACCTCCTGTTTGCTCACCCTGACCAGACTCCTGGTTTAGAGGGACCCAATCACTCCCCCAACCAACCCTCACCTCTCCATCCGTACCCAACTTAGCCTCTCAGTTCCTTTCACTTCACCACAGAGAGCAAACAACACAGACTTGGGTAGCAGTGGTGCATTGTGGGAAGATTTCAGCCACCAATGAGGTGGTAACCTGTATGGGGGTAGGGTGGGGGTCCAAAAACACAGGTTGAATGGGTCTTTGTAACAAGTCTATTTCTCTGAATTTTAAAGTTGTGCAACAGACAGAGAAGCAAAAAAATTGTGTGTGTGTGTGTGGGTGGGGTTAAACGCCTCAAATATGAGAAATGAAATTAACAGCTGCAGAATAAATCAAGAGTTGTTTTAAGTTTAATTACACATATTTACACACTAAGCATGATTCATCTACGATATGAGACGACCAATTTATGACCTGTGAACTATGATTGTATGATTGTATGAACCTTTGAGGTGTTTTTATAAAAACACTAAGAGCTGAGAGAAGGAACTCATGTGCAAAAAATGTAATTTTAATAATCTTAACAGGAAAATTAAATAGTCTGTGTCTACCGGTACATTCAAGAAATTTTAGAAATACATCAGTGCATCATCTGCATAGATGCTTAAGTACTGGCATTAATCCAGCTCTAAACCAAGTTAATATTTGATGTGGAAAACTTGCTGTTATATAAATGTTTGTTTACCGTATATACTGTATTTGAGCATACGTCCTTGGACCAAAATGAACTGGACTTTATCTAGGAGAAAGAAAAAAGAACTACAACACCAATTAAAAAACGTTGCATTGACTTGTAAACCTCACAACCCCTTATATTATTTATAGTGGAGCATATGAAATGCATAAAATGTAGAAACTTTAAAATATATATTTTTAATGGGTCATTTTGAATGTGATGGCAGCGACACTAGGCTTGTTGCAATAAACATTATATCAATCGCATGATAAATGAAAATTATCAACCTCATTTTCATTTATCGGCTTTATCGTTTCTTCGTGTCTCTCTCTTTCTGTTGAAGACAATGGATGACAAAAGGCTCAACTCCGGTGCTCTTCACTGACTTCTCCCTTTCTCTTGTCTCTTTAAAATATGTTTTAACTGTCCAAAATCGCGTTTTTGGATCATTAAAAGCAGTTAAGCTGAGAAGCTAAGCTACAAGCTAAGCTAACGAACCGACCTCGGAAAAAACCTCCGTCTTGTCGAAGCTCCAAAATTCACGGTTGAAACCCGTGCCTTTACATAAAAAGTTGGTTTTCTCTGCAAAAAGAAGCTGAGACTTGTTTACTGATTTTTTAATATTAAAACCTTTGTATGAAAAATGCTATTCTAAAGAGCTCAAACCACACAGAGTGTCCACCATTTTGAGAATCGAAAAAAGGAAGGACAGACAGCCCATGTCACGTCAAGGGGCCTCCCTCCCATTTTTCTTAGAGACACGCTCACTCCCTCACTATCCATTCTTCGGTTCAAACTGTCTTATACTGCCATCCAGTGGTCAAAAAAAGGTACTACGTTCAAAACAAATTAACCAACATTTCTTCTTAAATTTCACAGTAATTACTAATTATTGTCAAATTTCAAACAATATTATTGTTTATCGCAATAATTTCTGAAACAGTCGCCTAGCAAAATTTGTTTTTGTGACAGGTCTAAGCAACACATCTCAAGAAAGCAGGGGACAGAGTCGTGTCGGTGTTGCCCGTCTGCTAGCTAAGCGCTATGTTGCTGCCGGTTTTTATCACCGGGGGGGGGGGGGGGGGGGATGGGGCGGGGGCACTTCGTGTCTGTGTTGCCTATCTGCTAGCTTAGCGCTACTACATTGCTGCTGGTTTTTAACGATGGGGGTGGGGGGTGGGAGAGGACGGAGTCACATCTGTGTTGCCCACCTGCTAGCTTAGCACTACTACATCGCTACCAGTTTTTATCGACGGTGGGGGGAGAATGGGACAGAGTCACGTCTGTGTTGCCTGCTTGCTAGCTTAGCACTACTATGTTGCTGCCTGTTTTTATCAACTGAGGGGATGGGACAGAGTCACGTCCGTGTTGCCCGCTTGCTAGCTTAGCACTTCTATGTTGCTGCCGGTTTTTATCGACTCGGGGGGGACGGAGTCACGCCTGCTAGCTACAACATTGCCGACTGTTGTCAGCAGGGGGAGGGGGGTGTTGGTAGGCAGAGCGCTCAATTCTTTCGTTGGGGTGGGGCGCCCTGCTTGTTTCTTAGTTTACTGTTTATTTTATTTCCGTCGTCTTTTTTCTAACTTCAAATTTCCCGCTGTAGAAGGATTGAAGTTGTCTCACTTTAGCCGCAACACTTCAGCCTGATATTCATTCATACAGGTTAATCCCATTGAGCCTCGGGGACTCATTTACAAGCGAGACCTGAATAAAAAAAAGATATATTAAAATACATCTGATCATCAATCAACCTTTATTTAGACAGGTAAATCCCATTGAGCCTCGAGGACTCATTTACAAGAGAGACCTGATTTCAACAAAGAAATATGACAGCAATGGACAACAGCAACAACAATAAACAATTATAAAAAGTCATACTACAGGTTTCGTTTTTTTTTTGTTTTTTGTTTTTTACAAATAGGATGGCTAAAAGGAAAAAGGTAACAAAAAAACAACAAAAAAAACAGCTAGATTCTAAGGCGAATGTAGAAAACTAAAAACAGGAACATGTCTGCATTGGTGCCAGGAGTCCAACAGATTCTTAAAGCCACTTAGAGAGGTCAAGGTCGAGAGCTTCAAATCTTTTTGTAAGATATTCCAGGAAACAGGAGCGGAGTAGGAGAAGGCCCTTTTGCCTAGTTCAGTCTTCATTGAGGGAACACTGCAGGTAATAATGTCCTGAGAGCGCACGCTGTAGCTGCACTCACGCAGAGACATGTAGGAGGAGATGTATGAAGGCAGCAGACCAAGAAGTGATTTAAAGATGAAAATGTACCAGTGAGAGAGTTTGCGTGAAGTTAATGATGTCCAGTTAACCAGTGAATACTGGGTGCAGTGGTGGGTACGATAATCACAGCCAGTTATGAATCTTAGTGCACCATGATAGACAGCATCCAACATCTGCAGGGTTCTTGTAGGAGCGTTCATGTAAATAATGTCACCATAATCAATTGAGGGAAGGAAAGTCACAGATACAAGGCGTTTTCTAGAATTCAGGGTTAGACAGGATCTGTTTCTGAAAAAGAAACCCAGTTTAACTTTCAGTTTCTTTACCAAGTTTTCCACATGGAGCTTAAAAGAGAGATGTGAGTCGACCAAGATACCCAAATATTTATAGGAATCAACAAACTCAATGGGGACACCATTTGAGGATAAAATCGGAGGAAGAACTGCTGGGACCAACTTCCTATTTGTAAAAAGCATCCCTTTTGTTTTGTCGGCATTTAGGACAAGTTTGAGGCGGAACAAATCAGTCTGGATGTAGGTGAATGCAGAATTCAAAAGCTGGAAAGCCTTAGCAACAGTTTTAGCTCGACAATAAACAACTGTGTCATCAGCATAGAAATGTATAGATGCATTAGGGATGTTTTTACCTACATCATGTATGTAGATTGTAAAGAGGGTGGGTCCTAAGACTGAGCCTTGTGGTACGCCATTGTTGACTGTTAAATAACTGGAGGAAGTACCATTATGTTGAACACATTGCCTCCGGTCTGAAAGATAGTTAGAAAAATATCTTTCGTGTTAATTTATGCATTTGAAGAATTGTATTTTGAGTTTTGCAGAACAAAATTTTCAAACACTTAACAGCCAGTCACCAGTAACACTCGAAATATACTCTAGTAATTAAGATATAACAAGAAGTTCAGTCACTTTCGTAAAGTTACTGAAATAGTTACCGTACAACTTTAAATGAAGTAACTTTAATACCAATTATTTTTATAGCCTTTCGTATCCTTTCAAAATTACCCATTTTTTTTCCTAAAAATGTTAGTTTCTTAATTTAAATATGTGATATGTTGAATATGTGCATAAAATGTGAATTTATGAGATTAGCAATTCTTTGCCTTCTGTTTTCATTACTTTTTCAGGATTGTGGTTGTACTTTAAATACATTTTATACTTCAAGTTACCCAAACTGTCAGTATTAATTATGCAGAACGGTCACAATTAGAAATAATAAACTTAATGCCTTTGATTAGTTTGAGAATTCTTTTAAGAGGGTTAACTTTCACCCGACAGTTTCTACAACCACAAATAAATACTGACTGATTGTTTGATTTGTTAACATGTTTATCGTGTGATTAGAATCAAATCTAGCGTCTCCTCTGCTGCAGCGCTGCAAAGACAAGCTGAACTCTCTGGCCATCTCGGTGATGAACCACTGGCCCGGGGTCCGGCTGAGGGTCACCGAGGGCTGGGACGAGGACGGCCACCACTCGGAGGAGTCCCTTCATTACGAGGGCCGGGCTGTGGACATCACAACGTCAGACAGGGACAGGAACAAGTACGCCATGCTCGCACGGCTGGCGGTGGAGGCCGGGTTTGACTGGGTCTACTATGAGTCCAAAGCCCACATCCACTGCAGCGTCAAGTCAGGTGAGAGACCAGCAGGGTGGCTCGGGTTTCTTAAAGGTTTCTAAGGATAAATTAAGATTAAATATCCTAAATTTTATCATTTAAAGGATTCATTCAGACTCAGACTGCACCTGCTTATTGCTATTATTATTACTATTATTAATAATAAACCCAATCCTTGGTGATTGTCTTAGTAGGTGAATGGTTCTTGTTGATACGGTCGTTTTGTTGGTTTGGGACTTTATGAATGAATTTGTCCGTTTTTTTCCCCTGGAATATTTAAAAACAAACACAAGAAAATGCATCTTTAAGTCGTAGTTTTCATCTGACCGTTCGGAGTTACTTTACAAAGATGAACAGTTGGATGTAAAGACGTTTGTTCATATTCTGAAACAAAACAGTCTCTTCTTGTGAGAAACAAAATGTGTTTTTTTTTTTTTTTGTCCCCGACGCCTTTAGATCGAGTCGTCCACAGCCTCACCTAAAGCTTCGGCAGCTCACTTGAAGCTGTGTCTAATACTAGCTACTTTTAATAATTATTAATATCAACAATTTTAACCAGAGTGAATGCTGAGCCAGCATTTTGTTTCCCTGTTTATACTTTCTTTTAGGGATGCACGATATTATCGGCATGGTATCGGTATCGGCCGATATTAGCGATAAAGTTAAATATCGGTTATCGGCCATTCCATCAAAATGACTCACTGATGTAAAAAAAAATATATATATATATACATACAGTAAATATACAAAGATGCTGTTGTTGTATGACTGTTCGAGTGTTGTCATTGAGTTAGAGAGAGTAAATATCGTGAATAAGCGTAATCCAAGTTGAAGTGTTACATCATTTTCAGCCAACTTTTTGGCATCTGCATTTGGCAGCAGGCCAAACTGACAAAGACCATGTAGAATAATTTAGTATTTTAATTCCACAGCAGAGACAGCTATGTAGTCTCTGTAAGTAGGTATAGGGAGAAAAAAAATTGGTATCGGTTATCGGCCAAACAAGTTTTAACATATTGGCATATCGGATATCGGCCAAAAATCCAATATTGTGCATCCCTACTTTCTTTACATTTTTTTGCAAACTACTTTGTGTTATTTTAGCTGTGCGTATAACAGAAAGTTCAGCTCATTCAGGAAGTGGGTGCTGTGACTTTTAATTCCTTTAGCTTTTAAACTTTTCCAAGTATTTAACTTCAAATACATTTCATATTCCCGAGATTTGATTCCCTCAAATTCATTTTTTAAATCTGCTTCAGCTACTGGCTCTGTTTTCGTTTTTTAATGCTACTTTTAGCTTTAAGCTAATATTTTTATATTTTTAGACTTGAACTACTTTGCTTATTTTTAATCTTATGTTCTATTTATTGTAGTTTTTAGCTAAAGTTTTGCTACTTTTACTTCTTAGCTAACATTTTGATGCATGTAGTACTTGGCAATTTAGCAGCTTTTAGCATATAATGTGAATGAGTCCTCGAGGCTCAGTGGGATTTACCTGTCTAAATAAAGGTTGAATGAAAATATAATGTACTGCTTTTAGCTATTATTCTGCTTTTTTTTATTTATTTTTTAGCTTTTAGCTACTGTTCTTTCGTTTAGTTCCCATTTTTCCACTTTAAAGTTTTAGGTAACTTTTTTCTACATTAAATCTTTAGTTAACATTTTGGCTATTTTTTAACTTTTAGCCACTGTTTTACTACTTTTAGCTGCTTCTTCTAGCTAACATTCCGCTTTATTTTTTTTTTTTAGCTTTTTTTAACTTAAGCTATTTTTACTTATTGGCTAACATTTTTATGCATGCAGTACAGGGCTATTTAGCAACTTTTAGTATATAGTGTACGGTACTGCTTTTGAAAGTTGTTCTGCTTCTTTTAGCTTTTAGCTACTCTTTTGTTTATTTTAGTTCCCATTTTTCCACTTTAAGATTTAGGTACTATTTTCCTACAATAAGTCTTTAGTTAATGCTTTGATTATTTTTATTTTTTTGCTTTTAGCCACTGTTTAACTACTTTTAGCTACTTACTCTAGCTAACATTCCACATCTTTTTAATTTGTAGCTAAAATTATGCTGATTTAACTTAGCTAACATTTTGATGCATGTAGTACTTGGTGATTTAGCAACTTTTATCATGTAGTTTATTACTTTTAGCTATTGTTCTGCTTTTTTTTTTAGCTTTTAGCTTTTTTTTGTTCTTTCTTTTAGCTCCCATTTTTCCACTTTAAGGTGATATGTACCTTTTTCCTACATTAAGCCTTTAGTTGGTTAATTTTGAGCTTTTAGCCACAATTTTACTACTTTTAGCTGTTTCTTTTAGCTAAAATTCTGCATTTTATTAGTTTTAAGCTACAGTTTTGTAACTTTTAGCTGTTAGTTTCCATTCCATTTCTTACTGTTTTGCTACTTTTAGACATTTACTAGAGTATTTCTACTTGTGGCTACTTTAAGTGTTTGCTTTTACTTTTAGAATCGTATTAGCCTTAAATTAGCATTATGCTATTTAAGCTATTTTGCATCTGTTTTTGTTCCTTTTAGCTTCTGCATTTGTCGCTATTAACTTTAATTCAGTTTCAGCTTCTCCAAGAAACTTGAGCAAAGTCTTTCAGCGCTCAGATTAGAATATTTGTTTATTTTGAATACGTTTTTTTACGTTCCTGCTGCTCCATTTATCATAATTTTGCAGAAAAGTAACTTTCCAGCCAAAAGCTCATTTAATGTGAAAACACCATTTTTAAAGCAAATCACTTCAGCTCGCTTCGGCTGCTTTTTTACTTTTAAACTTATGCTTCTTTCCAGCATGTACATGTGAGCCGCCTCCTTCGCCTGCTACCCTCTCCCTGAACTGTTGGCTACTCGTCTTTCAGCTTCTCTTCTCTTTTATTTATTCTGCTCATCAACAAACAGGAAACACCGTCGCCCTTCTGAGCTTTTGAACACCGGGACATAAAAACTAACAGCGTTCAGTGAACGAATGCATGTCGCCCGCCACCTTTAATGCGTGACTTTGATGAGAAACGACAGAATCGTAGCCGATCTTTGGTCAAACCTTGCAAATAGCAGCCGTGGTTTGGGATGTCACCGTCAGAGTATGTGTTGTGGATGACTCTCAGCTACTACCACACCAAACTTCAGCTCAGTATCTGTAAAACCCTCTCGGTTATAGACGTTTTTTTGGCGACGAGCTGTGTCGGCCATGTTGAGCCGCTTCCGCCTCATCAAGGTGCAACATGGCGGCGCGCTGACAGAATGTGCAGCTAACAGGAAACACACACGTGCAGAAAGTCTCACCATCTTGTTGATGACACTCAAATCACCCGTGACACTTTATTTTTTTACTGAGTGGTAACCCAAATCTCCTTTTTTTTTTTCTTTTTCCCCTTTCCTGCTTCCTCTCTTCTTCCCCATCCCCCCCCACCAGATCGGGTGGCGAGGGCCCAGTCCTTGACCTGATCAGAAGGGAAACCAATCAAGTTGGTATTTATTCAAATTCAATTTAATTTCCTCTTATTTTTCTTCAAACTTGTTTAGAACAAGACAAAAGAAAACAGATACAGTGCAGGTTGGAATAAATCCTCCAAGCTTTAAAAACTGTTCATCCTCAGAGGATTAAAGGTGCGTGTTTAGGGGTGCACCACTAGGGGGCGACAAAGATTCAGAACTGATACAGATGAAGAAGAAAACAGAGCGAATAACAAATAACTGACAAAGGATTACATCAAGGAATTAGAATGTAATATTAATTGATTAATTATTATTTGGCTTCCATCGCAGGATTTGTTTCATCTCTCATTCAGTTTATGTCTCTAGTCCTACAGATTTACACTTTTGGCGTCAGAATCCTGCACGAGTCCTAAAACTGTCTCACTCTTGGCTGGAAAGTTCTCGCGTTTAACAGTTTTAGTGTTTTCTGGTGAGAATTTTAGAATTTAGAAACATTTTGGTTCAGACGTGATGCTGCGCCAAGCATCACCATGGCAACCTGAGAACAGTTTCACCCATCCATCCCTCCATCCATCCATCAATCTCTTCATCCATCCATCCATTCATCCCTTCATCCATCCATCATCCTTCATCCATCCCTCCAACCTTCCATCTATGCCTCCATCCAGCCATCCCTCCATCAACCCTCCCTCCATCTCTCCATCATCCCTCCCTCCATCCATCCAACCAATCATCATCCATCCTTCCATCCATCCAACCATCCATCTATCCTTCCATCCATCCATCCAGCCATCATCCCTCCATCCATCCATCCACCATCCATCCATTTGTCTTTCATCCATCCATCCCTCCAT